ATTACAAGTGTGTTATAGATTTAAAAGAGGGGAGGGGGGATGGTGGAGGAACAAAATTATGCATTCTGAATTTTTTATGGTTAAAAATCAGTTTTAAGTGAATAGAATTTCTCTAACAATGACAAGAATTATCAAAAATAATTCTAACTATTAAAAGTATTAGGACAAAAACATGTATTTTGAATACTCACATGAGTTTTTAAAAGCTTGAACAACTAGAATATATGATATAAAAAGCAAAATCTGTAATCCAAAAAACTCTAACATGTACAATACAATATTCGAGTAAGAAAATGATAAAATTTTATAAACATTATACAACATTTAAGTGAAATAGTAGACATTGAGAATGACGAGAACAAGAGAACAAGAGAAATTATGAGAAAGATAATGAAGGTTAAGTTAAGATCAGACCAAAATGTTATCGGTATAGTTAAATATGTTGTGAGAGAGAGAGAGAGAGAGAGAGAGAGGGAGAGAGAGAGAGAGAGAGAGAGAGAGAGAGAGAGAGAACCCACCTGCTCCTCTAGCCCGCCGAATGGAGAGGTCAGGACGGGGAGAAGCGAGTATAAAAGGAGAAAATCCCTACAATGGAAAAGGGGGGAAGGGGGTGGGGGTTGGAACCGAAGAGACTAGAGTAAAAGGGAACTTAAGACCTCCTTTGAACCCGATCCAAGGAGGGAATGGTTCATTCATTCGACGCCTATTTACGCCGACTGTGCAGTATAGTCGAGAGGAGACACCACTCCTTGAGATATGCCTACCAGGATAAGTCTTTTTTTTAACCTGGAACCATGTCGTTATACTCGCTGAACCCCTTCTTACATATTATAGAACCCCCTCGAAACACTTGTAAACAGATAGATGTCTCGATCCCCGGACGAGACTTCTCACTCAAACTCGTAGAATCACCCTCATGAGTACTTGTTCCTGGTAGGACATTCATTGACTTGGCGTCAGAAAACCTTGGGGGGAGGGGGAATCCCCTATCAGTCCCTCGAAGGTCCGATTGATCCTTTTTACAATTTTTGCAGGCTTGGATCTGTATTCTCCCTCACCAATGCTACTCTAGTCGACTTCCGCCCCTGAACGACTCGTCGTCTTCCTCTCCCCCCTCCAGAGGACGGAACTCGGAGGCACGACTCTACTCCCCGGACGAATAACACACCCCCACGTGGCATCTCGAAGTTTGCTCCCAAACAATTGGTGCTAGAAGGAGGGGGCATCACCAGCGAGCGTTCCACGAAGGAAGCAGTCCACACAGTTTGACTGCATGAGGGACAGAGGATTTAGATGGCCCGCGACCTGCAGAGGGGCAGTCCTTACTCGACAAGACCCGAGACTCCAGAACCATCACGCGTACTGGTCCCGAAGTCAAGAAGTCGGATCCGCCGTAAGACGAGGCAAAAGTATAAAAAAGTGCATAAACGAAGATATGCAAAATAACCATAAAGTGCATTAAAAAGAAAAAGGTCAAAAACAGCCGCCAATCCGAGAGTACGAGAATACATTTTACAAGGGACATATCCCCAAAAAGAAGTTTGTTTAAATTAAAAACTCGGCGGGCGTGAAGATCCAGCCGGTAAAGAAGGACTCACGCTTCCAGCGCCCGTTGCTGCCCTTGAAGCATCCATCCCCGTGATCCGTTCCGCTGACACTCCTCTTCAAGCTCCCGCCTGTGTAGGCAGATTAGTCGTCTGACTGTTCACAAAAGTTTCGGCCACCATCAGTGCGACGTCCACTTCGGCCCCAGAGTAAACCCCCAGTACACCGCAAGGGTTTTGCAGAGCGTTCGCACTTCGAAGTTACGGGTCCCCAAGTCCTGTTGATTATCGGCCAACGCTGTCATCAGACGCTTCACCTCCGAGCTCAGATCTTCCTCCTAGGCGGAAGTTTGCGCCTCGATGAGTTGGTCCCGAGAACTTAAGACCTCCCTACTACAATGGAGGTCTTCAGTTAGTCTCGTCGGTTCAAGGGAGGTCTTGAGTTATGTCCAGCTAAAATGCATATGCTACAATGCATTGTGCGTCCATGTTGAGTCACTTTTTTCCCCTTCGTTGGTGACTCGTTTACACCCTTGATCCACTTCTCTGGATTTTTTTTTTCGAACTTTATGCACCTTTCTGGTGAAACAAGTATTCTTTCTCTACTGAATTGACAGGTTCAATGGAATCGATGTACTGCGCTTGCCACTTACTTGTCAAATACCAATCTGAAACCAAATCTTCTGTTTGGTATGTCTTCTTATTGTCGAAGATAACACGCAACACATGGCGGCATGGTATCCCTGTCAAATCTCATCTCATACACTTACATGTACTCTCCTTCATATTAACCGTGTAATATTGACCCTTCTCACTAACTTCAAAGATGTCTGAACGCCCAAGGATTGTTCTCAGATTTTTCACTTCTTTTTCCTCTTCAGCGATCACTAAGCCAACTTTGAGACTATTTACTCTTATGCTTTCCCGTTTTGGTTCTTCTTAGCTCAGTCCACACCATCGCTTGTCTCTTCATTGTCTCTAAGCTCTGAATCAATGACATTGAACGCGCCTTGTCAATTACCTTGTTGTATTACTCTGAAAAATTATTCAGAGCATCTTCACAGCATGATGTTGTCTTGAAGTATGCGCGGCTACAATTCTCTGGATTTCTACTCATAAAAGCATCAAAGACATCACTATCATACACCTTCATCTTCTGCAAACTTTCTTCATGATCAGCCATGTTGAAACTCTCCATAACTTACCAAAACAGCCCTTTCATCCGAGGCTTTTTAGGATATACCCTCTTCATATTTCTATAAATGTGTCTTGCACACATTCGGTGTTCAATTTGTGGTAACTCTTGGTTCACAGCATTAAGTGATTCCTGCATAATTATACATAGAAACTTGTTAACAGTAAAGTAGATATTGAGTCCATGTACAATTTTGAATCATTCTTACCTTCTGCTTATGTGATATGAAAGTGAATCCATCACCATTTCTAAGATCTAAGTCTCTCTTGAGATGCTTAGTGAACTAAACCCAGCTGTATGTGTTCTCTACTGGAACAACAGCCCAAGAAAAAGGGTATATTTGATTGTTTGCATCTCTCCCAACATCTGCCAAGAGTTGTCCTTTTTCGTTGGTCTTCAAGAAACACCCATCAATCCCAAAGATTGGTTGACAATGCTCTTTCGATGTCTTGCGCAAACCAGCAAAATACATATAGAAGCTATCAAACACTTCTTTCCCATTATCACCAATCAATGTCAAAAGCTCCACTGTGGAGTCCTTGTTTGTCCTGAATCGATACAATAACATAATTATATGATTAGAGCATGAAAAATACAGTCAATACACATACTCTAGAGCATAAAAACTTACTCTAGAAGTTCATCTCGATAGTCTTTCATCCTTGCATATTGTTCACTGGATTCTTCTTCAATGACTTCAAGCGCTTTCCTCTTTGTCTTACGACATTGATCAAGTGAAGGCGCCACATTGTAGTGCTCATGGATTCTTTCGTGCATCACCTTAGGCTTCGATAGAGGATCGTTTCTCAGCTCATGGATGTACATGCTACAGATCACACTCTCTGTCAATATCTTACAACGTTAATCCTTGTAACACGAATGATCCTCTTCAAATGACTTAACCATCCATTGAGAAACAGATTCTCGTATGAGCAGTAATTCTCCATGTGCATTCATCAATACCACACTTAGCCTCATATTTTTTAGCTTTCCATCTCGTAAACTTGATATGTCAACCTCCTGTTAAGGCATACTCCAACACAGCCTCTCTAAACTCAGTCACGCTTTCAAAGACTTGTCTAATCTTGAGCTCTCCACTTCCTCTTCTCCAACCATCATAAGGATCCATCTCATTATCTGCTCCTTCACAATCTGATCTACGAGTCGTTGGTAGTCATCATTTTCCTCCTCATCAACAAGTGTGGCCACTATTTCTTTCACACGGGATTGCTCGTCACACATCTGATCTGTTGCTTTTTCTTTATCTCTTCTCTGCGTTATTCTCTCCTCTCCTCCGTTGTCTCTTCCTTTATTATCATTTCTCTCCTCTGTCATCTCCTGCCCTCTGTTATCTCTTCCTTCAGTACATCTTATCTCCTCCACTGTCTCTTCTCCTCCTTTAACTCTTCCTTCATCTGTCTCAGTTACATGTTCATCTGTAATACCTCTTCTGTCATAGTCTTCATCACACTTCATGTATATCTCAACTGATTTTCATCATGTAGCCGCCTCACACATTTTCGAAAAGTTATCTACACCATTACACAAGACTTTAAGCTCACTCAAATCTTCATACGTCATTCTGTACCACACTCTCTGCCCATACAAACTCATGGGCAAGCTTCTATACAAAGCACTCGCCAGTGTAAGAAGCTCAGTAACAGAGCCACCATTGTAATATGCCATACCATCTTCATTTGTTGCGAAATTTCCTCTATGGTTGGTGACAAACATAGTATCCAAAACATCACTAAAAAACTTGAAAAAAACGATAATATAGTGAGAGAGATGAATTTTATATTTTCGTTTGAGTAAACAATACAACAGCATCGATTAAACAATTAGAAAGCATCAATTAAACAATTGAATGAATCGATTAAAAAAATCAAAAGCACTGATTAAACAAATTCAAATCAATTCTATAATAAAAACCCTAAAATTAAAAATTGCCTTATTTTTTGATGGCTTGAGTCACATGAAACACAATTGGATGACCAACTCAACTTAAAATTACTTGTTTTGATGACCCATTCAACTAATGATATTGACGAACACCAAGGCTTTTTATCTATCTCTTATGAAATTGCCCTTGACGAAGAAGACGAGTTCTGATTTGGGTGACTGTTCGTCTGTTTTTATTTTTGTTCAACCAAAGCCCAAATGTCAAAGCTGATGTGGTCTTCGTTACTATTCCACGGGTGCACGGAGCTCACGGCTTAGTTATCGTCGTTAACAGAGTCTGAAACATTGACTAACGGGATGTTGATCAAAGTTGGCTTTGGCCGGATGGTATAAAGTTGAGATATTTATATTTAATTTATTAGAAGTTGAGGTATCAATTCGCACACCAAAATAATAGAGTACAAATTGGCTGTTTTCCCGCTCTTGGGTCACCGGAGACTCGAACCTTCGCTCGCTATTTCGATTCTTTTGCTTGCTTTTCCAGCAGCCAGGACTCTTCATTATCTGGTGTAGCTTCTCAATCACAGCCGTTGGATCCGCTTGTGAATTAGCCAGACGCATTGCATGATACTCCAAACCTTTCTACTTTGCTATAAGCTTGAAATGAGGTCTGAAAGTCGATGCTCACTATCTCAAAATTACGATAAGCATTTTCCGTGAGTTGTTCTTTGGGAAACAAGGAACGAGCAAACATCTTGATCAGCGAGAAGAGCATACAACTCCGTTTCTCGTGGCACCTAGCCGGAATGTGAAGCTAGAATCCCCAAGGTTTCAAAGAGGAGACCCAACGGAGTGAATGATCAAAGCAAAACAGTACTTTGAGCAGCAGAACAGTTTCTGCTTCGTACCATCTCGAGGGAGAGGCAAACGAATGGTGGCAAGCCATCTCGAAATCTCGTTGATAATATCCCTTAAAGTAGCACTAAGAAGCGAATAGATCAGAGTCGTATCTCCTACAAGCAAGGGAGAGATGGTTCCTAGCCATAAGGAAGACTGATTCTCCTCCTATTAACACTGAAGCTGATAACAGAATCTATTAAAGTAAGACAAAATCAATTACTTCCAAATATTTCCGGTTTAGAAATCTACTTCGGTCCGATGTCATTTGGTTTGGTTTTATTGGCTGTTCATGAAGGATTCCATTCGCACTATTGACCATCCAAGAACTATAAATTCAAACGATACACGATGACATATTTTTATTGGTTAGCTTCTTTAACCTAACAAACAAAAAGGCTTGGTTTTTGACCAGGACAGAACTTAACCGGAGTTGTGTCTTCTTCTTCATAAATGAATTGACTCTCTTTTACCTCATCAGCCTCATAGAAGTTTCTCCAACAGCTACGGTTCCAAAGCTTGACCATAGATATCCCCACCATTTCATCTTTATCTTTTCCCAACAGAGTTGTCTTCCCAAGCTTCTCGGTGCCATTAGCACCCATGGGTTGACTTGAAAGATGCTTCAAAAGATTCGAGCAAAAACTGCTATAGTTATTTCAATATAGAAACTAAGCCACCTCTGAAACAAGAGTTGTCTATCAAACTTACCAATGTAGATGCTAATGTCACGAATCAGTTTTGGACTAGTGAAGATGAACTAGTCTTCTCCTCAATGTTGTTCTCGTCTTTCTTAGTATGGTCTTCTAGCATAATCCTCTCCTCAATGTTGCTCTCGTCTTTGTTGGTTTGGTATCCAATGCTAGGTTCTGTGGGAACATAGTCTTCCTCGGTGGCTTTTGAACAATATTCTCCTTGTTGACTTCCATCACTAATGGACTCTGTACTGGACAAACAGAGCATAGGGGTTGCATCTTCCCAAATTGACTCCAACGTGAAGGATTCACCAATCTGTAAGCCGTTTGCTCTAGCAAAATCTTTCCAGCCTTTTCCCAAACTCATTCTTCCTTGGCTTTCCCGTAGAAGATTCGCCATCCACTTTGTACCATCTTTTCCCAACAGAGCTATCGTCCCAGGTTCGTTCATGCCATTTTCTCTCATGAATGGCAATGGAAGACCCTGGAAAAAGATTCGAACAGAGGACATAACCAATAAGAGTGCAACTGATATAACTAACCCACCCTTTTGATTGAGAAAACTCACCAGTCTACTGTTTTTGAAGCTGTCGTTTGTAAGCGTTAATGTCACAAATCGGTTCTTGCTGCTGAACTCCGTACCGAGTAAACAGAGCACAGGAGTTGCGTTTTCCCAGATTAACTCCAATGTGAAGGATTCGCCCGTCTTTAAACCGTTTGCTCTAGTAAAATCTTTCAAGCCCTTTCCCAAACTCATTCTTCCTGAGCTTTCCCGTAGAAGATTTGCCAGTCTTCTTGTACCATCTTTGCCCAACAGAGTCACCATCCCCGATTTGTCCATGCCATTTTCTTTCAAGAATGACAATGGAAGATACTGAAAAATATACGAACGAAGAATTAAAAAAAAGAAAAGACTTTCGTTTTGGGATGAAACCAACAAGAGTGTTTGTGTAATGAACTCACCAATCTACTGTTTTTGAGGCTGTCATTTGTAAGTGTTAAAGTCACAAACCGGTTCTGGTTTGGTGAAGTTGAATCTCTACATCCTTGAGGATTGTTATTGTCTCCCTGTGTTCCATCATTGATGGATTCCGTGGGGAAGAAACTGAGCAAAGGTGTTTCCCCGTTTTTCATTAGTTTGAAGATAAAGAAGTTTCCTGCTTTTTTGCCGTTCTCGTCACAGAAATTTCTCCAACCTCGGGTTATGTGAAAAGTATCAGATGATTTGTTGAACCTCAGATCCAATGCCCATGATTTTTCCCTTCCATCTGTTAAAACAATCTTGCGGCATTTCCTTTTAAAACCAATTGAGCTTGTGAAATCTTGTGGGAAACACTGCAAAGAAGGGTTCAGACATTTTCAGCATTTTCTCATGACACCAAACTGTAGAACGCTTTTGTCCAGTTTCATGACTAACCAACTTAACACCAGAGTAAACCAAAACCGAAGTTAACATAAATTAACAAAATGCATAGAGTTACCTAAAGATACTTCATCACACACAACCAAAACAATATTGAGTTAACTTTTAATTTTACTTCAACAAGTTTTCTCCTAAACCAAACAACAATAAGATCTAACCAAAAAATGCACAATTCTAGAAACAGCAGTTCGTCTAATGAGTGAATTGACCACAGTATGCAAAAAAAAGAGAGTATATTGTTATATAATCACCAGAGAATCTTCTTGTAGATTCGCATCCGTAACAGGGGCCTCAAAGCAAGAGTTGTCTGATGAAGAAGCATCAGCTTCTGCTTCTGAATTTTTCATCCTCGCTTTTTTCTCTCTGGAAAGCACTGTATCAGCAACATCCCGCATGTTAAACCTCGGATATTTCAACTTTAAACTGTTCTCGAAACAACTTTATCAAACCAAGTAATGTCAATGAGATAGAACAGAATATACCAGTGTTGTCCTGATCATCACCTTCTTCTGTTCTTAGATGCACGCGCTTCTCCCTCGATATGCAACCTGCGTAGAACATGTAAGAATCTCGGATACACAAAGACAATTTACAAAATCTTTCTTCAACGGCTAGTTGATATCATTTCAAAACAAGGTTTGAGTCACAGGTTTCTCTCCCATAAAAGCTTCTCTAACCGCAGAACATCCCTTTGAGAATCTGACTACAGAACCAAACTTACTGATCTCGTTATGATCCTTGTTGCTGGGTATGTCTCGAATGTCACAGCAACTAGGTCCTAACCCTGAGGCATGAAAAACCATCTCTCTCTAGCCGCTAGTATCTTCTTCCTCACGCTTCTTCCTTGTTGATGCTTCGAGAAGAAAACTACAGGAATCGGCTACAAGGAAAATTGTATCTCTCAATAAGCTGCTCGGAGAGAAAGAGAGACGGAAATGAATATCGGCGATTTTCAAACAAAACAAATAAATATATATATATAAAACCTTAGAAATTTTCCAGGCGAGAAAAAATTACCTCTCAGTGTGTTAACATGCATTTTCGGGAAATTCGATAATCTCAGCGCGTTGCCTAAATCAATTAAAGAGTTAATTTTTGATGGATGATTAGATGCAGTTTTCGATTCTCTCTCTACCTTCTAGAGAGAGGAAATCTCTCCCGACGCGGAGAAGAAGAGCAGTGCTGATGGAGAGCCGATCCGATGAGGAAATTGAACCTTCTTCCTCTTACCGGAATCGGTTTCGGGAAAGAGATAAAGAGATTAAGGGTTGATTGAGCGATGAACTCTTCTACACAGATCGCTTTTTCACAAGTCGATAAGAGAAACAGAAGCTTGCTTCCGTGTATCTCCTCGCCGGCGAAGATCTAGCAAGAGCAAAAACTTCCGATGGTAGGACACGTGTGAGCGGGAGAAGATGAAGAATAGCCCACATAAGTTACAAAATGGGCCTAAATTTTGTTGGGCTTATAGTTTTTAAAGCCCAGAATGAAAGAAATTTTAAATCCCCTGTTTAGTAGTATTTTCTTAATTGTCATTTGGGCTGTTTTATTAGAAGGGTTCTAGGGATTTATTACTCATACACATTTTAGTTGAAGATGTGTAAAATCACTGGAGTTTGTGAGATCATGTAGAAAACCTAGATAATTCTCCGAAGAAAGCTGACATTGTTCATAATTTTGGATAATTGTAGTCACATATGGATAAATACGGATATGACATTGTTAAACATAACTAAATCTATTGAAGGACATTAAACAAAACAGCCTCTTGAACAAAGATTTTTTTTTTTTTTTTTTTTTTTTGAAAATAACTCTTTAACAAAGTTTCTTACTATATACTATGATTCTCAAATTTTGGAACAAAACTTAAGAATCGGAACTGTCTTCCCAAATCAACTCCAAGACAAAAGACTCACCCATCTTAACGTCGTGAACCTCACAGACACCTTTCCAGTTTCTTCCCAAACTCATTGCTCCTCTTTCCTTCATATTCATTAATAGTGTCGTCGACCACTTTGTACCGAACCGGTCAAGCATCGGTTATCTTCGCTGCTTTCTTTTTTCTGCGAATCCCCTTCGTGAATTCCATCGGAAGATTCTGTAGATTTTCCATTTTTAGATTCCATATCATAATTGAACAAAAGAAAGAAAAACATAGTTTTGTTGTGTAACTTACAAGTCTATTTTCAGGTGGATCTGTTAATGTCACAAATCGGTTTTGGCTTGTTGTGTTGTTTTCTTCTTTTATGGTAGCTTCTACACCAAGAAACTCTTTTCGGTATCTTGCCTTGTGTCATTGCTAGGCTCTACATAAGAGGAAAAGAAAAACAGCTTTATGTTATTGATTTATGTATTGCTAATAAAGAATAAAAGAGAACACAAAAACTTACCAATTTTGTGAAGATTCATAGGGAGCAACTTAAGCACAGGTCTTTCCTCATTTCGGACCAATTTTAAATTGAATATGTCCCCAGGTTTCTTCCCATTAGCAACACAGAAACTTCTCCAGCCTCTGCTCATGTTACACCGTTTTCTATTCGCCTCGTATCTCAAGTATAACGTCCATGATTTTCCATGTTCATTCATTAAATCAATCTGATGGTTCTCTATTAGACCATTTGAAACTGCGAACTTTTTCGGAATATACTGCAAAATGTTGCCACAAGTTTAGTTACAGTTATAAGAAAGAAAACACCTCTCACTCATATCAAATGTAAGGAGTCTTATGGAAGTAATATAACCATTGAATCGGTTCTTAGGTTTGATGTCGTGACAATGGCCTCAAAACAAGATTGGTCTGATGAAGGAGCTGCTTCTATTTTTTGACGCTTCTTTTTTGGAACATTCTCTGTATCAATTGTGGAATCAGTTTAGCATCATTTTAAGAGGATTATAAATTATAAAACATTCAAATTACAGAATTTTAATGGTTGGCATTTTCTAACTCAAAATATAATTAATGAAGCCTCAGATAAAAATGAATCACAAGAAAGATGAAACCCACTTATGGCACAACACACTTGGTTATATGATTCAGAAGGGACTCAAGATATTAGTCAAGAAAGGATGTTTGCACTATCAAATCATGTGAAGACTAAACAAAATTAAACTCGCATGTAGTCAGTTTTGGCTCAGCTCAACATGTGACTAAAGAGAAGATGGACTTAAATGAATAAAAGAGAATACAACTTACCAAGGTTTTCAAGATCTTCATCTGGAGCAGAGGCGTTTTCTCATTTCGGACCAATTTAAAGGTGAACATGTCTCCATGTTTCTTCCCATTAGCAACACAGAAACTTGTCCAACCTCCTATCATGTAAAACCGGCCGTCTGGTTTCGCCTGGCGTCTCAAGTGTATCTTCCATGATTCTCCTTTTTCATTCATCAAAACGATCTTAAATTTCTTCTCTAGACCATTTACCAATCCAAATGTCATGGGAATAAACTGCAAAATGCCGCAACAAGTTTAATAGGACTAAAAAGTTAAAACACCTCTCACTTAAATCAAAATTACTGTATATAGAAAGGAGTAATATGGAAGTAACATAATAACCACTGTGTCGCGATTTAGATTCGAAGTTGTGACAGTGAGGTTGAAGCAAGATTGGTCTGTTGTTGAAGATTCTGCTTCTGTCTCTATCTCTGTCTCTGTCTCTATTTCTGGTCTCTTCTTCTTTCTTGAAACCCTCTCTGTATCACGAAGCTTCTCTGTTGGTAGAATAAATAGTCTCAGACTCAATTCTAAATCTGGAAATAATATAAAATTAATGAAGTTACCTATTTTTTCCTCTTCATCAACGTTATATCCACCATACTGAATCTCACAGCAACTTGGTCCTAAAGCTGTGACATGGAACACTATCTCTCCTTCGTGTCTGAAAATTACAATATCACCGATTCGAAGATCGTGTGCGACGGCGAAATCTTCCCAACCGTCAGAGATTCTCCGACCGTCAATCTTCACTTTCCAGGTGATATCTGATGCGTCTGATCTCAAGTTAGCCGTTTTGACTTCGTCACTTCCTTTTAAGTGCTTCAAGGAGAACGCAACAGGAATGTCCTGAAATAGAATTCAAGAGATATAAAAAAAACAGAAGTAATGAGTTTGGAGAGAGATAGAGAAACAGAGTATACGAGGTGGTTGGTAAAACCGGGAAGAAGAAGTTGGAAGAAATGTGGATTGATCGGAGTATAGAGAGGTGATTTTGTAACGACTCGGGTCCGGTCCATTTGAATAAGTTTAAATGAATTAATTTGGCTATCTATGTCACTAAAGTGCACTTATCTTTTCGGTCACAGGTCCCGAGAGAACTCTATAGTTAAGGGTGCTTATGTTAGAGTAGGACTAGGATGGGTGACCTTTCGGGAAGTGATTTCCGAAACCGTGTGAGTGAGGCCAAAACACGGGGAAAGATCATGTGATGATTGTGGGGTCAGTAAATAAGTCGGTTGGGCTCCGGAAAAAATAACGCACCAACCATCGGACAGGGGCGGGGCCCACGAGCCCGACGGAGGGATGGGTGACTCGCCGGAATGGACGGTCGGGGGCGTTACAAGTGGTATCAGAGCTTGGGAAGTCAAATTGGTTCTCTCCCAGGAGACTGTTTTGGGGTTTAGGGGTTAATGCTCACACTATCGGTATTAGAATTCGGGGACGAATTCCCGTTTAGTGAGGGAGAATTGTAACGACCCGGGTCCGGCCTATTTGAATAAGTTTAAATGGATTAATTTGACTACTTATGTCACCAAAGTGCACTTATCTTTTTGGTCACAGGTCCCGAGAAAACTCCACAGTTAAGTGTGCTTATGCTGGAGTAGGACTAGGATGGGTGACCTTTCGGGAAGTGATTCCCGAAACCGTGTGAGTGAGGCCAAAATACGGGGAAAGATTATGTGGTGATTGCGGGGTCAGTAAATAAGTCGGTTGGGCTCCAGAAAAAATAATGCACCGACCGTCGGACTATCGGGATCAGAATTCAGGGACGAATTCCTGTTTAGTGGGAGAGAATTGTAACGACCCGGGTCCGGCCCATTTGAATAAGTTTAAATAGATTAATTTGGCTATTTATGTCACCAAAGTGCACTTATCTTTTCGGTCACATGTCCCGAGAGAACTCTACAGTAAGGGTGCTTATGCTGGAGTAGGACTAGGATGGGTGACCTTTCGGGAAGTGATTCCCAAAACCGTGTGAGTGAGGTCAAAACACGGGGAAAGATTATGTGGTGATTGCGGGATCAGTAAATAAATCGGTTGGGCTCCGGAAAAAATAACGTACCGATCGTCGGACAGGGGCGGAGCTCACAAACTCGATGGAGAGATGGATGACTTGCTGGAATAGGCGGTCGGAGGCGTTACAGATTTCACCATACTCAAAAAAAGAATATTGTTGAAGCTTTTTCTTCTTTGATCTTTCTTTGAGAACAATTAGTAATTGTGTGGTTTAAACTCTCTAAGTCATTTCACAAAACGCCAAAAAAATATATATAGTACAGTAGTATATATTTTAGTTGTTCTCGATAAATGTTGCTCTTTTTCCAACATCCATCATATGGATTCCAGAAAAAAAATATATATACTTTAGTTAAACAGTAGTATTGGACTGTTGGGTCAAAACATGAAGTCTCTCATTGCGATTGAAGTTATTCAGTTATATATCCAATTAACGATAAAAATTTCTTTAGTAAAAAGCAATTTGTTTGGATTAACTTTATAAGCGTACTCAATTTCTGTTAATGAGTTATTTGGATACAAATTCAGATTAGCTATATAACAAAAATGAACATGCAGCCACCATATGAACAATAATTGAAGTGTTCAAGAAATTGAATCTAAGAAAGTGATAACATTCAAGTTTGCTATAAATATCAATTGTTTTCTTATAGTAAATAAGTTCGTTTTTTTTTTTGAACTTTTAAATAAGTTAGTTGTGGAATAAAAGAATAATAAGGCGGCGATTGTTTACTTGCGTTTTACGTTTACATGTTTTATGTTATTTAAAATAATGTATGTAATATAAGTATATCACTGTGTAAACGCAAAATCAAAATCAAGATCAAAAGGATTTTGTTTTTGTTTGTTAGTTAATTAATGTAATTTAACCACACAAACAAGAATCACGTAAACACAAAGTACATTTGTAGCAGCCTAGCAGCAGTATCACGATCACGTGCATCTAGGACTAGGAGTGTTATGGCTTTATTCCCAAAAGCACAAAAATCCAAACAAATCACTACAAAACACCAAAACTATGAGCACCCTTTTTCCATTTGAAAGTAAAAAGTGCAAACCAAAAAATCTATAGCTTTTTTGGTAGATGATAATAAATTTTTGTTAAGATGATACTGAAATAATGTTTCTTTTTGTTTTTAGACCTTGAGACCAACTTCAATGGTGATTTTTAAGGATCTAATATAGTAGTTTTATGAATATAACTGAATAAAACAATTGTGAGTAGTGTTTTAAGTTTTAGACCAAGATCTAAATTAAGATTTTTTTTTTAGTTAAAAACAGACATGTGGCAAATTATAAGTGGACAAAAAAAATTAATAGAATGAAAAAAAAAATCTCCCATTTGTTTTTTTCCGTCTCTCTCTTCCTCTTTCTCTCTCGTAGGCGAATACAGATGCGATTATTTTTTTTGTCTTTCTCGAAAGAGCTCAGTATGGACAAAAAATCCTCTGAAGATGGAAGTTCGAAATGTTAAAAACACAGTGAGAAGGAGTTTAAAGAGTTGCAAATAAATTTCCGATTGCGAAACCCTAAATCTCCAAATGTCATTCGCCGAGGAATTTGATGCTAGTAAGCAAATTGTATCTTTCTCGACTCACTTTTTAATTCCTTTCTTGAATTCTCTAATTAGTTTGTGAAATTGATCTTCTTCTTACGTTAGCTATGTCGATTTTTTCAAGTTGATTTACCTGTAACATAAATTGATTTGTGTGTTTCTCTTGTTCTTGTACTATATTATCCACTTCCTTTGGATATGACCTCTTGTTATCTGTTCATTCCATAATAAGTAAGCAAACTCTTTTCCTGATGTATATAGCGCAGATCTTGTGTCGCTTGCCCATGTTTTGTAGAAGAAATATGCACTCCTGAGTGATTTGGACAAAAGTTTGCAAGGTAACAATCATTCAGTTTGTACTTACAGTAGCATCATTTGAGTAGTAACTTGTTCTTGCGGTATCTCGCACATAATCTTTAGATATTTCCACTAAAGCCCATTCCTTTGAGATAGTCATGCTCTGCATAGCTTGCTGCTTTTGGATGAGTTATGTTAGAGACTAGTTGTTTCCTAGATCGTCTTTGTTTGTGGACTAGTCTTTCATCTTTGTTTGTGTCTTTTGAGTATAAAATCAAAGACAAAACGAATAACAGTGTGGAAAGGAGATAGAGGATATAAGAAGAGGCAGAACAGGAAATGTCACACCCAATACATCTCTTACACATTTCTCAGAGGAAGCAATTGATGAACAGAAACACAGCGTCACGATTGCTGATGAGAAAGTCACATTGGATATGCAGGCATATGATCTGGTATGCTTCCAAAAATCTCTCATTTCTTAGACTTCACTGTTATATTTGGTCTCTTTGTGTGTCTCCTACTGTTATACTTGATTGTTTTCTTGCCGAATTTGGTATGATTGTTTGTCCTGTATATCAGGATATTTACTTATAAACTCATTTTGGGCAGGATCTTTGAGAATGATCTTTTCAAACAGGACTAGAGGTCTAGGAAGAAAATTGACATACTTCAGTACACGACTCTCAAATGGGCGCTCGCTTTCCTTACCGGTTTAGCCACTGGCGTCGTTGGTTTCTTAAATAACCTTGCGGTTGAGAATATAGCTGGATTCAAACTCTTGCCCACCGATAATCTCATGCTCAAGGAAAGGTAAGTCTAGCTTTCATTGTTTCATCTCTACTTCTACAACATATTTTAACTCTTCTATCTGTTTTGAATTCAGTTGGTGCTGTGTTTTAATTCTGTATTCTTTTAAGTTTATTTTGACTGTATTATATTTTTGAAAATGTATTATGTTTTAAAAGTTGTTAACATAAGTTTTTATTTAATTTTATTTAAAAAAATACCCATCAAAGTGTCTCCATTATAGGTTTAAAAATAACAAAATATTACAAAGTGTCTTATATATATAAAGTACACTAAATATTAATAATTAATTAATAAAACCCCTATTAATAGTAGTATCTCTATTAGGGTTGCTCTTAGTTAAAACTTAAAAGATATTGCTAATGGGAGAAAAAAATCGGAATATAGAGAGTTGATTTCGCCATACTCAAAAAGAAATTTGTTGAAGCTTTTTTCTTTGATCTTCCTTTGAGAACAATGAGTAATTGTGTGATCTAGACTAACTAATTTCACAAAACCCCAAAAAAATATCTTAGTTGTTCTCGATAAATGTTGCTCTTTTTCCAACATCCATCCTATGGATTCCAATATACTTTAGTTAAACAATAATATTGGACTGTTGGGTCAAAACATAAGAGTATTTAGATTGGAGATTTTTAGAAATTTTTTTTTAATATTAAATAAAAAAATAAAAAAACGAAAGAAGGTAAAAACTGGTTCTTACATAAAAACTTTCAATTATAATTCTTAAATTTCTAAAAATTTATTTTAACACTTTCTATTGATTATATTATTTTTTAATTAAAATTTAACTATATAATTATATTATATTAAAATATTATTATTATTTTATTGAAAACCTTAAATGAAGTTTTAAACAGATAGAAATGGTCTAAAGTCTCTGATTGCGATTGAAGTTATTCATCAAATAAAATTTAAATAGATCCAATTAAAGATGAATTTTTTTACTAAAAAGCAATTTCTTTGGATTAACTTTGTAAGTGTACTCATTTTCTGTTAATGAATTATTTGGATACAAATTCAGATTAGCTATATAAACTTTTTAATAAAAAATATATATATATATTATATTAACCTAGTTTGAACACAGCCACCAAACTATGAACCATTCCCCTCTTGCCCTCCATCACCCCTATTCTAGTGAAAAGTGAAAAGTGAAAACCAAAAAATCTATAGCTTTTTGGTAGATCATAATAGATTTAAAAATCTATAATTGATTATACAGGATTAATGTATTTTTGGTTTTAGACTTTTAACTAAAAAAATGTTGCTTA